TCTCTCCTCTCTCCTCCTCTCCCCCTCTCTATCTTTCTTCTCTCTCTTTCTCTCTCTCTCTCTCTCTCTCTCTCTCTCTATCCCTCTCTCTCTCTCTATCTCTCTTTTCTCTTTCTCTCTCTCTCTCTCTCTCTCTCTCTCTCTCTCTCTATCTATCTCTCTCGGTAGCTGTGGCCACGGCACCGGGCCCGGCGCCGCCAGATGGATGCTCTGCGATGTGCGTATTGTGCCGTCGATGGAGACAGCACGGGACGTTGAACGGCGCATGCTGTGACCGATCTACCGGCGGTAGTTTGGTGCCGGCCAGGCGGGAAGATGGGCGTAATAATAAACCGTCACTGTCGCGTGCTGGACGACAGTGCGTTTTCTCGTTTTATGCGCACTGTGGACGTGGTGTTGAGTGAAGGCAGTCATATGTAAGGACAGGTAACGACTGGGTGTCTGGTAATCAGTAATCAGTGGGGATGAGTGACCAGTAACTCCGTGGTATGGGTCCTCCATATGCCGGAGTGGCTCGTAACGCAGTAATGTGCACTGAGTAATGGCTGATTAATCTGTATTATCGTAATAGGAGTACCCATTAAACAGCGCCGACATGTGCTGTGCCTTAGTACGGCTCATCACGCGATTACCGTCCGCTGCGCAGGGTCCTGGTGGTTTCGGGCCCCTCGTGCGAAATATGTATATCGACCCAAATTTATGTGACATGATGAATGTGTGTGTTAACATACATCGCACACGCCTGTTTGCGAGCATATGATAGAGCGCAGGACAGGGGATTCGACGTATAGTGCCCCCAAATCCAAATAACTTGACTAATTTTATGCGCAAACCGCAAAGTCGTGCACACACTTGGTCTCAGAACAATGTTAACCCTCGCATGTGTAGGGGGGTCGGATGGACCCCCCATGGTTTTTCGCGAATAACTCGCGTAAAAAGCGGCAAAGCGCAACGAAACTTTCAGTACCCTCGCATTGATCAGGTTTACACCTACCCTGAAAATTTCATGACCCTGACCCAAATGACCTTTGACCTGTGACCTATTTCTCGAGACCATGTTTGGCCCGAATCGCGATTCGGCGTATGTCGGCTCGCATTAGCCGCGCGGTTGCAGCCTTCACGTGGTTTCAAGCGTTGAAACATGTGACATGATATGATGCTGGTCCCATGCATTAGGGTGGGTGTCAAGGTCACCTGAAGGTCATTTCAGGTCATTGACCTTTGGTGACCTCGGTTCACTTATTCGCGTTTTACATGTTTCTAGGCTAGGTTTTGGAGCTGAATTCGAATTTAGCAACCATCTGAACATTTACGAAGTAGTTTTGGTGACTTCGTAACATGTTACGAAGCTGTCAGAGGCGGTTGACACGTACTACGAATACCCATCACGACGCCTACTGGTTGACCTGACCTGACCTGACCCGACCTGGTCTAAATGCTTAAAGACATCATCTGTGATCAAATCTAACACGATATTCGTGATCAGCACCCCGAAAAACCCCTTAGCAGCCACACTTTACGACTTTCTAACAGGTCCCGATTTTCCCGACTTTGGGTCATTGACCTGACCTGGAAGGTCAACCAATGACCTAGGACCTTAAAATTGGGTATCATCGGCTTCCTCTCGTCACGGGAAACACGGTCGTTTTTTCCGCGAAGTTCTAGATCAGGGGCCAAACGGCAAGGGGGGGGGGGTCCAACCGACTCCCCCCCCCCTACACATTAGAAGCTGGCAAACGCCGCACACATGCGAGGGTTAATAACAGGATACCGACCCAGTACATGCCGCACCCACGTTTTACTAGACGATGGACAATGATATATTGATTTAAAACCTCTCAATTGATGCTTGTGCAAGGTCTGCGCCCTCTCAGCAACCAGACTTTTCTGGCGCATCTGTGTTTCCCGGTTCAAGTATTCAGTCCATTAATTTCTAACGCAATTAGGCATACAAAATGCAGGGTGACGGGACACTACAATGGATCTTGCCCTCGCTGCTAGCTGCTCTCTCGACCTTCGGCTCGGTTACCTTTCGTATTTCGGTCGTCCCGGTCGTATGTTCGGTGCGATGGCCACACGGTGTGCAACAAGGTCTGCATAGCTGTCCATCCAAAGCTTTGAGCTACAATTATAAAAATGGTGTTTTAACCAAATTTTTAGTATATCTCTACGTTAGATGTTCTTAGTTGGACCCTTTTCACTGGCCGTCTCCATTAAGAAATACATCTCGGTTTGGTAAAGTATATGAAACTGCCACATGAGAAAAACAATAACGGTTGACTGGTCCGGTACAAGAGACGCCCCTGGACTTGTGACACTATCGCTATGGTTACGACCGAAACTTCAAAGCTCTTAGGTTTACGATGTTTAGATCGCCGCCATTATCCATTTAATGGAAGGGAGCTGCAGATATAGGTACTCACACTGAGGACTATACTATCATTGTAGCCATCGAAGCGCCAGTTTTGCCAGTCTGCTTTACCATATCTCTGTCTCAATTTTGATATGTTTTTCTTTCGTCATTTTCTGCCACTTTTTATTATCTTCTTTCTTCTCTTTCCTCTTTCTTCCTTCCTCTTCTCTCTCCATTTCTCGCTCTCTCCCACTTATCTCTTTCTCTATCTCTCTTTTCTAGCATGGCGCACACAAACAATCTCGTCTTCCTTCAAGCTCTTCATCCCTTCCCTGCTTGTTTGCAAACTAATCTGCTTCTTTTGATGTAGTTTTATCGTTCCACTTTTCGCCGTCAAAAGTAATCTCAAACACTTTTTATGTTTTGGAAACATTTACCACTTTGAGCTAACATCTGGCTTCCTGTAGGAGTGTGATTACCTCCACTGTTTGCTTTTCAAAAGAATAATATCGTTTCTTTTTTTAAAGCTATGTCTTAAATTGATAAACCGGCTGACTTAGTTGTCCTATCACTATGGGCGCCATTCAGTTTGCCCTCCTATCGCGGTCTGTCTCCACCGCGACCGGAAGGGACCGGAGACACGTCTCGGCGCCCACCAGCGGAGACAGGGCGGGTCGACGCGTCCGTCGGTGCGCCGCTCCTCAGCCGTCTCCTCTGACCGCAATACCGGGCCGCACCGGCCGTCTCTCACTTTTATATTGCCGTTACGTTTTCATCGGCGCCGACCGGTAACAGCGTCATTTATAACGGTGGCAGGGGCGCGCCGCAGCGACGGCAGCTCGCCGGCCGGGCGCGGACAAATAGCCGATTGAAACCGGCTGGCGGCGGTCGCAGCGGAGGCGAGGGTGGTGCTCGGTGTGCGACGGCATGCGAAGAGCGGTCCTTTTGGGTAGCGCGGCCACGCAGACGCTCGACAGAGAAACTCGACGAACGCGGCGAGAAAGGAAAAGAGGGAGTGTCGAGAGTGAAATAGCTGGAACGAGTGGGTAAAGTAATTCGGGGAAGGAGAGAGAGAGAGAGAGAGAGAGAGAGAGAGAGAGAGAGAGAGAGGAGAGAGAGAGAGAGAGAGAGAGAGAGAGAGAGAGAGATGTGAGCATTTAACGTGCTAAGTTATTGCCGAATATGGTCACCGTAAATGACTGATGTGTGAATAACACTGTATTATACCTAGTTTTTTGTTGTGTTGGTTTAACTGACCGCTTCTATTTGCATGTTTGTACCAATAAGCATGAAACCCTATCCTTGAAGTTGTTCTAGCGATTTTATAACGTTTAGCTGATCGGTACATAATGCTTACAATACATTGGTGTATTACATCTTGACTAGCTTGCCATACCTACCGTTTCACGCATCATCATTAATAGCGCTCATTAAGCTCATTATTCACAATGCGTATGACAACAGCCCGATACCTTCAAGTAAACGTTCGGGATTTTTAGTAATGAACTTGCATGCTGCAAAGGGTATAAATATTTGGCCGATTTTGTTTCAGGAGTATAGTGTTCAGTTGATCTTCAGAGAAAAATGGTTCGACGAGAGACTGAAGTTCAACAACATGAATGGTGAGAGCGTGAATTGCTTATTTTGGTAAAATATGAAATAAATGTAGATGATCGATGAAAAGTAAAAATGCATTAAATGTCAGTATTTTGCGCACTTCAAAGATAGACTTCCCGTACATGATCTACGGCTTACTTGGCATCCGAAGATCTTTCATCCACAGCACGATTTTGTTGACGGCGGCCGCTGCTCTCAGGTCGGGTCGAGTTTCTGACCCTCACCGATCCGGAGAAAATCTGGATGCCCGACCTGTTCTTCAAGAACGAAAAGACGGGCCAGCTGCACGAGATCACCATGCCCAACATGTATATCAGAATTTTCTCAGATGGCGGTGTTCTCTACAGTGTAAGGTGAGTGAAAACGAGGCCGAGATGCGATCGGGGAAGCTGCTAGACTAAGGAGAAGGTCATCTTATAGGGTTGAGGGTGTCATGTTTGAGAGTTATGTAAGATTTGCTTAACAATGCTGGCTTAGATGTTCCATGATTTTTACACTCTCCGAGACTGTTTGGTGCACCAGTGAAGGTTGTATTTACACGGCTTTTGATGATCAATGTTTTATATTCGCCCATGTTTTTACGTAATGAAGTCATGGAGTGCAACTGTGCCATCCAACTTCCATAGTTTATCGGTGTTTGGTAAATGTATCAGCCGACCCATCTTCTTGGACTGGGGTCATAAGTTAGCATCGTGATTTTGCTACCAAGAAACTTTAGCAAGTGTTCGATGATCCTGTCCGGGCCCGAATTTAATGTGACAGTAAGCACCAAAGGGCATCCGCCGGGCACCGCCCGCCCGTGGAACTGGCACCCGGCGACCGGCAACCGGGACCAACTTGGGGCGGGAACTTACCAGATGTATGCGATTGGGGGCTGGGGCGTGCACCGCAGCTAACCAGCTGTCTTCACAACTCACGCCTGTGACAGTCTGCCGGATGCGTTCGAACGCAACTGATAGTGGCGCGTTGGGAGGCTCTCGCTCGCTGGTGGGAAATTTATCGGCGCAGTGGGCTGTGCCCCTGACATGAAGCAGTCGCTGCAATATCTGAGGGGTGATTTATACACAGCGTCCCATGGACGCCGGGATGGGCTGCTGCGCCCTGTCAAAGATTCTCCGAAAAAGGCCATGGTTTGAGTCGATTGGTCGGCTAGTCTCTGCAGTGGTTATAGATGTCTATACGTCGAATCTGTGCCGCGGAAGTAAACAACACGACCGCTCTTCAGCGTACTGAGGCCGTCAACATCAACTCCATCAGCTTAGCTCGGAAAGCGACGTCGGGCGATCCGATCAAGTTTGGTCAATACGACCGAAATACGACGTCATTGTCCATTAGGCGCTATTCGGGAAGCTGTAAACGTCTGGTACGTTGAGTGACGAGCCAAGTAGGGTGCTCGGCGGTGTCTGAGCGTGTCGGACGGCGGCGGCGGCCGTCACTCGGCGCGAGTCTGATGACGTGGCCGGCGGACGATGTGTCCGCCGTCATCAGCCGCCTCATTCACCGACTGATGAGAGCCGTCACGCTCGGTGGCAGCCATGTCCGCGGCCGGGTCGGGCCGGGTCGCGCCGCCACTCTGGGCTGCTCTGCCCGCGAGCACTGGGGCGGGGATGGGGGACGCTGGAGAGCTTGAGGGTGGACAAAGCACAAATTGTGCAACTTATGATACGATTGGGCTCTTGATCGAGGATTTCATCCTCCATATGTCAACTAAAGGGTTGAAAGACGATTTCAAACGAGAATGATATTTTCAACAAGTCTTGATGATAAATTTATCGCAGTGCACTATTTTAATGAAAGGGAGGAATGTTTTTGCCGTTGAAATATTCAAATTTTGCCAGAAAAGATGAAGTTGTGAAGAATATTAAAAAAAAAATGTTGTACAAACATCGCTTGGTGCAGATTTTTCAACACTTATTTTCTCACTTGATGAGCAAATTCAGGGACAAAGATAAAGAAAAAAATGACTTTGTAAGCATGGCTTGACTGTCGCCTCTGTCACAAAGAAACCATTCGTTCCCACACCCAAGTCCTCGATAAATTACTTTTGCCACGTTCGTACCCGAAGACCACAAATGCAATCGGTCGTATTGCGACGATGGGGCTTAGTAGAAATCCATGCAAACATTTGTTTTCTCCTATCTGCGGGCTCAAGCTGATGCATCGAAAATGAATAGCTTTAGAAGGTCTTACGGTAGCGCTGACGAATATCTTATAATTTGCAAAAAAAAAAGAACGTCACACTTTTCTAGACGAAAGTACACTAATGTTTAAAGTGGGGACTTAGATTCACATTTACACTTGAGTACCTTATGTGGTGATAGCTCACCCGCCCGACTCATAGTGGATGGCCATGAAAGTGGGGATCAACTCTGGCTGTGTGCCTTCAGCACAAATATGTCGTAAGCTTTCAAACACAGCCTGAGTCACGTCGGTTTAACCAGACCTGAATTAGGGCCGGAAGTCTGAGTTACAGAGTAAGTGTGACACTAAGGAATACGTTCTGTTATGTTACTGTAGTTATATGACGTTTAAAGTTATCATTGTGGGACATTTGCATCATGGCTATCTGAAACATCATAATATGAGCAGATCAAATCGTACTTATAAAAAATTCAATTTTAAGATAAAGTCAACATCCTGGCTAAGCTGCCAGAGCATACAAGATGCATTACGATAGTTACCTACTTGGATGTGAGCTGCTTATGTGGAGATTTGTTGAGAATGCATTGAACCGGAACGCCAGAGTTCGATTGTGAATGAATGCTCAATAGCTGGGAGTGCTTTGGCAGAATCAGTACAAATTTATCGGTATATCACACGGTCCCTTTTACCTCCCTTTCATTTCTCTTGATTGATTGCAGCTCGTTTCACGTCTCGTTTGACACCTAGCGTGTCCATTATCACTTTCATGATTCTTCGGCAAGTTTTAATATCACCTCAGATTGCCGATCAACGACTTTCGTTATCCCATGATTTCCACACGTCGGGTTTCCGTTATAGCATGTCCGCCTCAGGCACGGTCGATCCATAACGGATCTTAACTTCTCGATATTCCATTTATTTTCGCTTTGACCTTTTTGTGTGCATCAGGCGCCATGTCGGATCTGGGAGCGCCGTTGTCACGTCCATCCCCGATGTGGGGATTTGTCCGAGCAGGGCGGGCTGATCTGAGATTTCCGCCAGCGCCGAGCTGTTATCGCGTGCGACGGCGGCCGCGCGCCGCCCCTCGCGCCGGCCGCGCTCGTCTATCGCGTCGATGTCGACGATCGGGCTAACGGACGGCCGTCGGCCGCCGCTGATGCGCCCCTATTAGCTGCGCCCTGAAACATTCCTCAGATTTTCATAACGGCGCCGCATGGCTCGTGCCATTTGTTGGCGGCCGCCTTCGACGAGCCAGTAATATATGCGCTCGATTCCGGGCCGGCGGCTGCTGGGTGGCCGACGGGTGCCGGCGGCCTGTGCTGCCAAAGCCGGCCGTAATGGGAAGATTACCCCGCCTGCTTGGCTGTCCGCAGCCAGTGCAGCGCGTGTGTGTGTTTATATATAGGACGGCCGGCCGGATTGCAGCGGTGTCGTCTTGTTTTCAGCTGACAGGTGCCGCGTGCGCCCCGGTTATAATGACGCGTTTCCAGCTCTCCGAACTGGTCACTGACCGGAGATCGGGTATCGCTAACTGGTGACCGCTGCAGCCTCGAGTCGAGGCCGAAAACACTCGAGCGGCGGTCAGCTGACAGATCGAAGAGCAGGAGGCTGCTCAAGGATCGCCCTGAGGTGCAAGCTGGGTAGCCTGCAGCTGACAGAAGCACGCTTGGCAGAAACGAATCGGCTATTGATAGAAACCCGCAGCGTTGGGTCCGCGACTGACCAAGCTTTAACTCTTTTAGCTTGTCCCAGCTCGGCCCACATCCCGTCGATCGTTGGACGGCCGGCGGCCGATCGAGCCGCCCGGCGGTGAGACCAGCTGCTGTCCGGTCCACAGCTGAGCCGACCAGCAATCACGACACCGCTAGACGGTGCGGCGCCGCCCCGTCCGTGTGTGAGCCCGGAGAGCGTCCGGCCATCATCGGCCGCCGCGCGCCAGTGTCAAAACAGGGCCTGACCGGGCCCAGCCGAGCGCGCCGCCTCTGGCTGAGCGCTACCAGCTGACACGGCCTGGGACGCATAAGTCACCGGTTCGCGCAAACACTCCGAAAATGAGGTCGCGCCGTGTAAAGGCTTCGACGCTAGCGCAGGGCGTGAAAGGCCAACGGGCGCGACTTGACGTATTTAATGCACGCGACGCCGAAATGGAAAGGAGTTTGCTGCGACTAACTGGCATCCACTCTCGGCCAGAATATATTTGTATTGAGTCGGCTCGGCTAGCGGCCGCCCGAAACCAGCCTGATCCGGGGAGAAACTGGCGCGGTGGCGGAAACCTGCGGCCGGGCTCTGCAAACGCGCAGAGCGCACGATAACAACGGTGATTTAGTGGTGGGCCGATTCAGCCGGCGGCTGAGTCAATGATGTAGATCATGATATAGTCAGCGCGCTAAGATATATCGGTCGACTGATGCTCGGCTGAGGAGGTTTAAAGGCTCGCCCGGCTTGTCTCCTGGCGCTCCGTGCCGAAAAAGGAATTGATGTCTGGCAGTTATTGTTATACATAGATCCGGCGTAAAACTATAAACGTTCAACTGATCTCCCTTCTACTCAGTTCACCGTTGTGTTTTATGGGACTGTTTCATCAATTCTTCCTATATATAGCGGCGTTTTATGAATGAAAACATATTCGACGTAAATCGGGGATGAGTGGTCAAAGCTGGAATTATATTTTCATTCCATAAATTTCCTGTGAAGAGTTAATAGCAAAATACACCGACAGGTAACCTACATTGTATTTATAGTGTGTCCTGTCTTCGTCTCAGTCATCCGCTGTCTGACAGTGCGTTAGCTGTCTGCGCCAGCGCTAAGGGTACTGGGGGTGTTTCCGGGAGCGTGCCGAGGGCGGGTAGCGGAGGCGGTGTGCGTCGCTCCGAGGCAGGGGTGGGTGGTACGCATTGTCAGCTCGCGTTCCGTCAATACCGAAGGATAGACGCAGTTCTGCCACGGACATTGTGCCCCGCCGAGCAGCGTCCAGTCAGTCCCACCGGAGGGCCGCGGTACCGCCGTCCCGTCCGCCCCCGAGACCACAGTAGAAACAGACGTGCAACACAAGTTGGGCCCATTAGAGAACGGAAACTTTGACAGAATTAGACTAGTCCCCAGAGCGGAGGTGACCGAGGCAACCGTTCGAATGCACCAGCTGGTAATTGCCTCGAGTTGCCATGGATACCTGCCGTGCCGGTGGCGTCGGTTTGTTTCCAGAACGATTCCA